TTCATTCTAATCATTGGTACATTTTAGGTATACAATATAATGACATTCAGAATTGGAAATTTGCACCTTTACATAATCTCTCTTGGTTCTTATTTTTCACCCTTGTCCAGCCCTCCCCTCAACTCCTCCATCCCTCCCTATTTAGAAAGATTTTGTTTCCATTTTCTCATATTAATTCTATTCCGTTCTTTCCTTTCCCCCACCCCTCCCACTTCCCCTTCCCTTTGCCCCCTTTCTTCCTATTTCACATTATCTATTATACATTTTAGTCTTTATTTACACTTTCAGTTCCTCACACTAGAGAAACTTCGGTATTTATACATGTGTGTCCTATTTATTTCACTTAAGAGTATCATGAGGCAATAGTCTTAAGTGGAATAAATAGGACACACATGGGTAAATACCAAAGTTTCTCAAGTGTGAGAAACTGAACGTGTAAATAAGGACTAAAGGGTATAATAGATATTGTGAAATAGGAAGAAAAGGTGCTAAAGGGAAGGGGAAATAGGAGGGGTAGGGGGACAAGAAGGAAGGGAATGGAATTTATATGAGAAAAAGAAAAATGAAAACAAAGTCTTTGTAGATAGGGAGGGGTGGATGAGTTGATTGGTGGGGAGGGGAATGGGGAAAAACTAAGAACCAAGATGAATTATGTAAAGGTGCAAATTTCCAATGATGAATGTCATTATATTTTATACCTTAAATGTACCAATATAATTAATAAAAAAGACGATGGAGTCAGCAGTAAATAATCAAACATCTTTATATATAGGTGGTAAGGTTTCAAGATTTTCCTTTCAATTTTTCTTCTAAATTTTTTTATCATGAATATGTATTACTTGAACAAGAAAATATAGAGGATTCCAGAATTTAAAATTAGTTTGTTTTCCTTTATTTGTTGTATGTCATCATTCTGTAGGGCTGGCTTTGTTTGAAGAAAAACTCAGATACAACAATGAGAAATACAAAAAGTTTAAGAAGATAGAAGAAAGTCTCCACAAAGAGCTGGTGGAGATGTTACATGATGATGGTGTGTTCTTATATCCCTCACATCCCACAGTAGCTCCCAAGCATCATGTTCCTCTAACAAGGCCTTTCAACTTTGCTTACACAGGTACCAAATTGTACTCCTTGCATTTTGGTTTTTGTTTTGTTTTGTTTTGTTTTTGCATTTTGTAATCTTAAAGAAATGAAGATCTGTTCAAGAATATAATTTCCTTCTGCTGTTGTGTAAATTTTATCATACGATGATTGAGGACAAATTGCCAAAACAGTTGTTAATATCTTACATGAAAGATAATTTGCTAATAACTAGCATTTCCATTGTCTCTATGAATTTTACAGAAGTGACTCTTAGGGAGATGTGAACCCAATGTCTTCTTACTGAACCCAGTGTGTTCTTACTGAATGTCTTCCTTGGCTGCTCCACAACATAGTAAAGCAAAATTTGACTTTGTCCCAGGACATGTAGCTTCCCATGAGATTCTAGAAAAGGAGACAATTTTTCAATGGAACCTTTATTTCCTTTAGTTATAATATATCCAAAATTTTATTGATTCCATTATTCACCCATCTCATTTTTTTCCAATGATTTTAGGCACTGTAGCTGGACCACAGTTATATGAGTTCTAAAAGCCCCCAGATATGTACTGGATCCCTGTCTGTGATTTATTCATGGTCTCTGAGATTAAGATGGAAGCATCCTCATTAAATATATATTACCAGTCTGGAAATCTGTGGCCCATTTAAACTTGGAATTTGTAGCCCTACTTGTGTAAGTTCAAAGGTTCAGCGATGGCACCATCTGTACAGCTTAGATCAAGACACAGAAACTTTCTGAATATATTTTCTCATCTAGGAAGTCTACAATGTTTCTGTCAAGATTAAATTAAATAATGTACAGAAAAAATTTATTATATAAATTTTGGAGAATTGTCATAGGTTATAAAATGCCAGTTCTTCTCCTTTATTTTTTCATGCAAATTCTCTCTTGGCTTTAATCATTCACATCCAGTTCTTTGCCTTTGAAGTAAGTTTACTCCCTTTCTGTTTCATTAACTTGTCATTCAAGTTCTTATGCCAGCAAAAATATTTTAGCATATAGGAAATAATATAAAAAGTTATGATAATGGCTGCTTTGCGGAAATTTTCCTCAGTTTGAATTTTATTGCAATTTAAAACTTTTCCTTTTAGTCTTAAACTCATATGTATAGCATCAATCAAAAGCCTAATGATATGGATAAGATCCTCATAATAAATACATTAGCAGCTGTGATTTATTGACTACCAAATGTGTGCCAGATAATATGCACTGGGAATCCTATGAATGGTGTCACATAAGCTTCCCCCAAATCCTTCACAGTATGTGCATATATTCTCAAATAAAATACAAAAATAGTGAATTAAAATGTGACTTAAGATCTTGAAAATGTCTGAATGGAGGTGGCCAGCATTTACCTCCTCCTCCACAAAGAAGAACCAAACCAATGTATACATGAGTGCTTTTTAAGATGAGTAAATATGGAAGAACACTCATCGAGGGAAAGATGGAAAAATTGTAGACCCATAAATCTTGGCATGACTTCATAGAAAGAGAAATGAAAGACCTTGGCAACTGATAGCTCAGCTCCTAGGTTGGGAAACATGGATTTCTTTTTAAAGAATAACATGTGAGCAAGAGTACTGGAAAAATGCATCAATGCAGATGCCAAAAAAATCCTAGCTACTAGAAAGTTTTACAACCATCACAAACTTGCAGCCCAATTAATGTGAAAAAAATACCTGAAATATTTGTTTTAATTTGGAGAAGACACTCTCATCCTCTGCCTGTAATCCCTCATATCCTAGGCTCTGGTGATTGGATGCCATCTTGAGAAGGGAGATGTTATCCAGTTTAATACTACATTAGAGGCCAGAAACCATTGTATATTCCCACTCTTGAGACACCACAGATGTTCTAATACACTGGTGTGAGGGGTGTATTTGCCTTAGAAAACTTAATCACACAGTGTTTGCAAACCAGGGCCCTTTGTTGCTCAGCCTTGGATTATATTGGGGGTTCAGATATGAAGTGGAATGGAAGGTGACATTGTAAAGAACTCACTGATCATGGCATATGCCCTTTGAGGCCAGAATTATAAAAATTGTGGTCAACATAAAGGGACCAATCTGTTTCCCACTGCTCTGTGCCACATTCAGGTTTCTGTTGCTGATAGGACATAGAGAGAACACCACAGCTCCCACAGCAATCCTACCCATAGGAATGTGTCGACAGGTCCTGAGCAATCTCTGCAGTTTTAGCCATCACTCTATTCTTATGTTCATGAAACCAAAGGTAACCAAGAAGAAATTTGCCTAGCTCAAGTCACAGTCTCATTCTTACTGAGAAAAAATCTTGGGTAGGAAATGATGTACTGTTCCTGGGTGAGCACTGCAACCAAAGAATTTGGGGGAATCAAAAGTTATGGCTCCAGCAAACACCATGGCTCCAAATGTCTGTTGCCAAATGAAACACCAGAGATTCCAGCCATCTCCCTTTATACAAGCACATGCATGCAAAGGGGGCCAAAGTAGAACATTACCTAAGGACAACTACACTCTGACTCCTAGTCTTAAACTACAGCTGAATGAATTGAGAAAATCCTTATGACAACCATCACCTGATCCTGGGTGTCTAAAGTAGCTGAAATGTTTGGGATATAAAAAGCCACAGAAGCAACAGGTACAGTGTCCTCATGTGCACGCTGCCACTGGAAGGTCTGAGAAATATAAGTGGTTCCTAAAGCGGCCTTGTCCACTGAGATTGAATTGCCACTAAAATAACAGAGATAAGCATTGCAGCTTATCCTGCTATTCCATCTACGTGGTCCCCACTGCCACTTCACTCCTGCACCATGTCTGACCATGAACTGCTGTCTGGGCTAGGTGTGAATGCCACAGAATTGTTGCTGTGGTTACTACCACCAATTCTCCCAATGTAACACTTGGTCCTGCACAACTGACTGCTTGCTGGACAAATACTTCCACTCCCTCAACAATGCTGGTTGTGTCTGTGCCAGTGGCTCTTGCTAGTAGAAGAACTTATATCAAGAGGAAAATTCATACCCCAAATGAGGCACTGCCAAGGTAGGAGCAACTAAATAGCAATCATCCCACACCCACTACTGTATTAACTACAACTGAAAGAACTATAAATTATTCCTACTCTAGTTTAAACCACAGAGTGAATGGGTTTCTATGAATTGGCCATGGTATATGCTCTATGCAAAAACATTAATAAACTTAAAAGCAGCAACAGAAGGACTGCATTAAGTTTATCAGCTGAAAATAAAACCAACAAACCAACACACCAAACCCATTTTTTGGGAGAAATCTATTCACGAAAATGGCCACTACACAAAGTAGTACAGATAGCAGATTCATGCCATGCACAAAGTTCAATGTAAGGGCACAAGAAATATGAAAAATATCAAGGTAATACAACGCCTCCAAAGAATGTAAAAACTCTAGCAAAAGATAAAAAAGAAATATGTATAAACAAGATGTCTCATTAACAATTTGAAAGAATAAATATAGTTCAATGAGATGTGGAGAATATATAGAGATTGTTAAATGAAATTAAGAAAACAGGGTAAGATATGAAAGAGAATTTTAGCAAACAGATTTTGAAAATAAACAAATCTTGGAAATGAAGAGGTTAAAAACAAACAAAAACTATGGGTATAAATCTGAAAAACAGACTACATCAAGTTGAATAAAGAAAGTTCTTTTAAATATCTCAGTCAGAGAAAGAAAAAAGAAAGGAAAATAGAAAGAGTAGGGCAAGAGAGGGAGGGGGAAGAAGGGAAAAATGGAGGAAGGAAAGATAAAAGAAAAGAAAGAAAGAATGAAGGAAGAAAGAGGGAAAGAAGGAAGTCCCTTTCAAAACTTTTGAACATTATGAAATGAAAAAAAAATTGTCTGTGTTTTCAAAATCAAGAAAATGTGGAGAAAAATGTTAAGAGCATAGAAAACCTTTTAAATAAATTAATACTATAAAATATCTCTAATCATGGGAAAGGTATGCATGTCCATATATAGAAGACATATAGGGGGGATAATAGTTAATAATCCCAAGGAGATACAAATAGAAAATATCTTCAACACAAAATATTATAGCCAGACTGTCAAAGTATAAGAAAAACACGAAAAAAGAGAAATAGAAAAGAATCAAACATTAACAATACCATAAATCATCAAACTATAAAATGAGGAAAAGAGAAAAGAAATATTTAAAAGTAAGAGAAGATAAATTAATAAAAATTCTAGGACTAAATCCTTACATATAATTCATAACTTTGCATTTAATTATAATAAATTCTTCATTTAAAAGATACAGAATGACTGTGCTTTTCTTAGTTGGAAAGTTTTTCCATCGTTGCCTCACTTTCTTTGTCTAATGATTTGTTAGAGTTTTTATTTCTTCTTTGCTCAGTTTTAGTAATTCATAAATTTCTAGGAATCTGTCTTTTCAGTCAAGATTCTCTAATTGTTTGAAGTACCTTTTTTCATAGTACTAAATATCTTTTTCATCACTAATTGCATTGATGTGAACTTTTTCCCTCCTAATTTTGGTATGTGTGGATAAGGGATTATTTATTACATTTATTCTTACAAAGAACCAGGTTTTTGATGTTGTTTCTTTGATTATTAATCTCAAATTTGTTAATTTTTGCCTTGATCTCTGATTCCCCTGCTTAAACTAGGCTTGAGTTTCAACCTTTTTTGTAGGATTAAGAAGTACATCATTAAGTTACTTATTTTAGCTCTCTCTGTTTTTCTTTTTATTAATTTTATTTGTACATTTTCAGTATACAGTATAATGAAGCTCATCTTTGGAAAATTGTACATTTACATAATATATTTTGATTCTTATTTTTCCTCATTCCTCTGCCCTCCTATCAACACCTCCACCTTTCTCTATTGACAAAGACTTTGTTTCAATTTTTTTCACTTTTTCATGTTAATTCCATTCCCTTCTTTCTTTCCCCTACCCCTCTCATTTCTCCTACCCTTTGCAATCTTTTTTTCCTATTATACATTTTTATCGTTATTTACACTGTCAGAATCTCACAC